GACACACTCGCGACATCACTAAGTTTACACACTTAGATATTCAAATAATCATTATTTTTTTAAATTGTACACACTTAATACTATAATAATCTTTGGATTGAGATTGTACACATGTCAATAATCACTTATCAATTATTGATGACAATTGCTGGTTATCAAGACACCAATCTTCGGCGTTACTGTCAGTTGTTGTTGTTTATTAACCCTCTACCTCTCGATAACGTGTCAGATAACAATTGGTATTAACAACAAAAAAACTTAGGTATTTAAGTTATATAACACACATTTAAATTTTAGTTATAGGGTTAAAATATAAAGATGGTGTAGTAGACCAGGTTGTTTCCCCTTCGTTTTTAATATGCTACTGTCCTTATTTCTGACATCTAGGTTATAATCTTCAAAATATCTCCTCTAACATATTTTTGTCTAAGAAAGAAAGAATTATTGCTTTAATTTGATATTTACATAGTTTCATAAGCATATATATTTAAATAATGTATATTATCTCTTGTTCAAAACTGTTTTTAAACAAATAGGACCAAGAAATTTAGTATTTCGTTTATTTTTTTATAGTATAGTCCAGAATACAGGGAGAAGGAAGTGGGTCCAAGCTTCAGCTCTAAAAAGATAAGTAGCATTAAAAAAATGAAAAGAATTTTGCGAATTCATGTTGTAATAGCTTTGCAACCTGTCGTCTCGAGTTGAGTGTATATTCTGATCTCAATTCCGATGTGTAACCAATGTCGGGTTTTGGCAATACTAGGGAGTTGTATCAATTTCAAATCCATAAAGGGTACGGGTCTATGTCTCACAGATTTCAAGGTTTACAAAATAGAAATGATTTTGGACCAGATTTTCTTGGACCATAGTTTAAAGCTAATACGATGCATAAAACATTGGTGATGCAGCTAGATAAGAACAGCCCCAATATTGTCTGGGCTGAGAACATGGTTTTATCCGAATGTTTAATGAAATTGCTCATTATAAAAATGGAATCTTGAAAAAATGTGAAATTTCCCGTTCGGAGCTAATTCATAGGTTTACAGAACAGTTCCCTGATACAGATCTTAATAACTTACAAAAATCAATTTAAAGGCAGTGAATCAATCACTGATTATGAATTTGCGATGTGGGTGTTAGGTGGCTTGGGACGATCGGGAAAGAATAATCTGCTTTATCGGGAACATGTCAGATTATGTACGAAACTTTTGCTTTACACATAAGATAAACGAGCATCTGGTATCGGCCGTTCTCCTTTGCAACAAATTGCCTGCACGCGTTCAGTCAAGTTATTTGTGTAAATCTTGCTTACTGATTATGGAAAAAAATATATCATGGTTGTCGGCAATTACTTCATAAATGGAAAGAAGTCTTTAGCTTACACTATTAATATGTCGATTTTGGTTGCCAACTAACCAAGGGAGATACTTTACTTCTTATCTCTTTACTAATTTTCATTAATTAAATAACAGTCGAATAGTGATGTATTAATAGAAATAATGGAACGTTAAAACATCCGTATGCTTTTAACTTTTTACCATAAAAACTAGGGGTGCGTTTCACAAACGTTCTTACGCTATCGTAACTCGAGTTTGAACGTCTTTCGATACCCAGAACTTAAATTTTTCTCTAACTTTCAAGTTACGCTTTTGCGTTATTTTAAACTTTTAAAATTTTACGCCCCACTTTAATTACTGGTTTTTAAATTTTGCGGGTTTTTGTTTATTTAAGGGGATTTTTTCAACTTTAAAATTTACTTTTTGCTTTAAAGTCCAAATTTTCTACAAGATGCGAAAAACTGGGGAAAGTGCCCTCCAAAATGTTTGGGGGAAGTTTTATCTCGCTGACTAACCCCTAGTGTCCCTTTTCCTCAGCCCATGCTTCTGGAAAACTTTTCTTTCAAATTTTCCCCTTTTTGGAAAAAAGACAAATTTTTGCTATAAATGTTTTTTTTAGTCCAATTCAATAAACTGAAAATTTTAAAAACGTAAAATTTTTTTAATTTGTTTTTAAAAATGGCCTTATTATTTTTTTTAAAAAGCAGAAGCTCAGAATGTTCTAGGTTTTGCAAAACGACAAAAGAAAACCCATGATTCAAAAATTGAAAATTAGGGAATTTCAAGTAGGAGATTTTATATGGCACTGCAATCCTCCTACCGCTAACTCTAACTTTAGGCTTCAAAATTAGTTCATCTAATGAAAAGATGAGAATAAAGACAAACAAGGCAAAGGCAACGTTCACAGGACGCAACCCCCGACACACTCAATCACCACATCAGGGCACTTAGAATGCACAAAACCAAAACCAGGAGCGGGTCGAGAAAACACTCAAGGCCAACGACAATTTAAGAAGGCAGACATCACAAAACATGCAAACATTCAAAGCAAATAACCATACAGACATGTGAAACATGTGAAGGAACACAGATGGAGTACCACCTTGGATCGGTCAGTGGTAGTTACACCAACGGTGTGTTTAATCGGTTTTTGGCGCGCCAAAGCTCACTCGGAGCCCCAATATGTTCCTATATGACAAAAGAGTATAAATAATATAAATCCCCGCCAAGTGAAATTCTAACAATGTTAATGGCTACATTTGAGTAAATAAAAGAAACACATGAATTAACTTGTAGATATGTTCAAAAAAGTACAACCTAATGACCATTACAAAGGCACTCGATGCCTTAATGGAAGACAAATCATTTTTGATATTGACAGCAGAAAAATTACTATAACCTATGATCCTGCGAATTTTGTAAACCACATCTCCATAGTAATCTTGCTTACTTATACCTAGTCGTAAAAGAGTTATAAATTGCAATAAAATTTTTAAAATTTAATCTGAAATACGCTTGTAAAACGCAATTAATTATAGCAATAGCCTTGTTTAAAAAAGATGTCAGTAATAAATGAATTGCGTTCATTAAAATCATCGGCGGCATGAATGTACAACTAGAAACTCTTATTAAATTGAGAAATATATACCCCATTTGATGTAGCAAGAGGTACATCTCCATCTACATGTGGATAAATAACAATATAAAAATCAAAATCATTTAGTTTATCATATTTTTGCTACTTTAGTATTGTTAATGACAGAAATGTTTCACCAAGATAAGAAAGTTAATTTTAGCGGAAACGATTGCTTACGAATTCCTAGATGAGGGTTATCTAGTCAAATCGCTAAATAAAAATCCTGTTATAACACGAACTTGATGTGTTTTCACGCCTATTAAAGTTTACCATTAAAAGTTTCACCATTATCTTATTTAGTGTTGCATATAGTTGAAATCGGCTTTATATGAAATATCGATCGGTTTTGTTTTTTACTGAAATATTTAATGAAGGATATAAATCTTCCTAATTTCAATTCAGCGGTACCTTTCAACTTTGATAACACCTAAATTTTATAATATATGATTGTATTATTATTTGATCAAACGGGCCTCAAATTGTGCTCTAATCTATGAACACTAAAACATCAATTAAATAATTTGAAAATAAATATGAGCGTATTAAGGTCACCTAATAGTAGTAATTTAAACTATTAGCTTAATATCACTGAAGTAATTGTAAAAAACAAGGTTAATATATACAATGCATACAATGTCACTGATCACGTATATTATCTTTTATCTATAATACAAAAAAGAATGGCATAAATGTCTATCAGGACAGTATGTTATTTATTGTACCATGATATGATGTACATTAAAGATCAAGGTGTGACGGTCTCCACGTCAGCTCGCAGGACATTATTGCAAAAGTATTATTTTTTGAATGCAATGATTATAACCACTAAGCACATTTTTGATTTGAAATCGATACTCTTCTAGATTTATGTCTATGAAATCGATTTGAAAATATTATTTATTTATTTTATAACTAGGTAACACACTTTTCTAACATAGTTTCATAGATGCCTTAAAAATAATAATTATCTTATAATAAATGTCAATGGAAATACTAGAAATCGACTGCTGCCTTGTTTATATAAACAAATCCAGAATATTGTATTGGTGAATTCATAGGTAGAAAAAACAACTAGAAAGGGAAATAAACTGTTTACATGTTTTGAATTATCATTTCAATAAATTGATACTCCTTTCTATGTCATGATCTAGAGAGCTTAAAGGTAGTTTTTCAGTGCTTATAACTATGTTAAAAGCATAGCATGTCGTTCTGTAGCTAAATGATTAAATTTTAACTTCCTATTATCAACACAGGTATTAAGCTAAAATAAAATGCTGACATTGGTTTTTGTTAAGGTCGAAGTATGATTTCTTTATCATATGTTAATAAAACCCGAGGAATGTCATTTATACCTGATCTGAAAAAATGCTTATACACCCAAGGAGATTAATATGACAATTTCCAATAGATAAAATTTTTGGTATCTAGGGTAAGTTAAAACTAATCAAAATTTCAATGAGTGGAACTAGTAGTAAGATAAGAAAAATGTAATAACATGACAGTTACATCGATTTGCTTTTTAATATTTTGAGTACTTTCAGATAAGGTTGTTACATGTCTTTTTTAAACTAGTTTTAAACAAAGCTCGATTTTACTTTAAAGACTTAGTAAACAGTCACTATAAACTTATTTCATTCTTTCTATATTTTAGTTTTATAATATACGGTAATAAAGAACAGTTAACTGTATTATACTGTTATCAAGAATAGTGAACTGTTTTATAAGGGACAGTCAGCTTTTATATACTGTTAAAGAGATAATTGATATTCTGATATCAGGAACAGTTAGTTAATGGTAAAGTGTGAGCAAAACCTCTTCCGAAATGTATATCAAATTTTCAGGAACCATAAAGTGTTGTCTCCGTGCAAACATGTGACCAATAATTGTTTTATTATTGTGTTTTTTGTTTTTCTTAAAAATATTTTGCTTGTAAAATTTAAAAGAAATCATATATGGCGAAATGGACGAGTCTTAAACAGGTGTTTATAATGTGAAAATAAGCAGGATAGATACGCATGCGCTTTAACTTGTAATAGATAGGCATGCGCCGTTGATAAGTTATTGAAATTTGTTCATTCGCATTTCCATGGAGCGCCCGTTTCGTAATGGCGGAATTTAGTCCTGGATTGAATAGCATGTAATAAAGATTATTATAGAAAGGTACAGTAAAAAGTACATTATTTGTGTTACTGTAAGACAATTATATTAGATTTTTTTTATTTTTAAACAAAATTTATACTTTTATATCAAACATATTAAATCATTTGACTTATATGCCATTGTCGAAAACTTGATACCAGAGTAGATTGGCAAGAAATATTTCTAACAAGAACATTATAGGGCTGCAATAATTTATTTATATTTAAATGTTAGAATCGTTTTGAGAAATGCAGACAAAATTGTTATTATAATACAGAAGAAAGTGTTTTCTAAATTTCACCAGTTCAAGTTAAATGTTGAATTCTGCTTAAGTTGGTGCTAGGGGGCGTGGGACGGTAGTTTTGCACTTGACATTACCGTCCATGAACAGGCTCAATCAAACCGAGCCTGCAACATTTTCAATTTTACCGTGTTGGGCTTTCTTTAGGGATTCTTATTTCTCTCTATTTTGACTAAGTCAGTAGTCAACATTTTATGTTAGAACAATCAATTTTTTTTTCCGGACAAAGGCCGTCTCAAATCAGTTTTACTTCCTGTAAAAAATACTTGGCCGAGGTAAATATGTTGTTTTGAAAAAAAGTGATAACGTATAATGAGATTTAAAAAAGCAATATAAAATAATTTGTTGGAGGAGAACTTAAATATAAAAAAACACTAGAAACTCATAGAACTTAAAAAACTTGAGTTCAATTCTGGACATTAGTTTCCTTATCTTAGAATGGCCAAAACGATTCGCAGATTTTATTCTTTTAATTTCAAAAATTAATATTCAACTTTTATTCAGTTCTCCTTTGTAACTTTTAAAGATCTCAGACTGTTTTTTGGACGCCTTAGGTCAAAAAAGCAATATGCGGAAATTTCCCAGTAGTGTATCTAACAAATACTATATCATTGTATCCATCTTGACATTGGAGAAAAATATAATCATTTTTATGCAAGGCGGGCAAATAATTATTTTATGTCAAGGTGATGATTGTATTTTAAAAATGCTTTTAACTTTAAGTAAACAATACGAGTTAAGATAGATTTTAGATTCATGTTATAACGAACAGCTTAAACAAACGTAGTTAAAATGGACATGAACAGAAAAATAAATGTTGCTTGTCTGTAGTTAAGAACTCCGTGTTCACACGTGACTAATTAATTTTGATATTTGTTTGTGTTTGTATTAAAACAATTTGATTTTAATATAAAAGGCGATAGTGGAAAAGTTTGTTTATATCATGGCACAGATATGCATGCGCTTAAAATTACTGTTTGATAGATACGCATGCGCTGTTTGATTTGTGTAAGATATTCATGCGTAGCTATATGGTGCGCCCGCTTCGAAATCGCAGAATTTTGTCCTGAATAAAATAGAATAACAAATTGAAAAATATTACAGTAAAATGTATATTGTACATAGTAAAATGTAAAAAAAGACTTACTCTATATTGTTCACATGATATTAAAGTGATATGGTCTTCAAAAGGGCTTATTCAATTGATATTCACCCAAATTTTTAAATTAACAGCTTCAAAATTTTTCAAATTTATCACGGGTTATAAACTTTTTTAAAACTAACGTAAAAATTCCCTTTGGGTTCCAAAAACCCTTATTAAAAAAAAGCCTATGGAGAGTTTTTTAATTTACAAAAAATTAAAAGGGTTTCCCAAAATTTACGGGTCACGTTTTTCTTTATACAATTTAAAATTTTTTTGCAACGTCCCAGACAAGATGGTTATCTGTATGATTTGAAATGTGTTTCAATATGAATGGGATTTACAGACATTCATTTCTTAATTATAGTCAAGGTTTTTTTTCATGTAAACTACGTTTTTACTAATCTTTTACAGTACAGTTATGCAAAGTCACAGTAGATATATAATTTGTCAATAGAAACACTATCAAATGAACAGTTAGGTCACTTGTTTATAAGTAATTTTAATACATGTGTCTGGTAGTTTAGAATTGATTAAGCACTTTTTAAGACTTGAATTGCATAACAATTTAATAGATTATTTACTTCATTCATATATACGCTCACAAACAGGTACTACACGTTAAACCATTAATTTGCGTCATGAATTATTTGCTTTTCAATGAATTGTAATATTCTTATATTATGTCTTACATGACAAGCTAAATCTTAAGTTTCTTAAATCGTTTAATTCAATTTCATTTATGGCAAAGTCCTCCCATTATCATTCGGTTATCATTTAAAGTATTTGGTATATCTTCTTTTCAGTTTTATTAATATTCTATCAATATTTTATCAGTGCTCAGTGTGTAAACAATGAGTTACAGCCAGGTAAAATCTTAAAATTTAAAGTTTAAGATTCGGAAAGGACGAATTTTGCGCTCGAGGTCATATCATGACAACTGATAACTTGGAATTTTGATGATCAATACGCATGCGCTAAAGTTGTAGATTTTATCTTGTTTTGATTTAAATGTCGTAATTCAACCTTGGATTAGTGTTATTTCAAGTGTCATAACAACGACACGTAATCCACAAAGGCACTTAAAGCTCGTTATTTTTGTTAAATATAAAAAGAATGCAATGGCTCTCAGACCTGAAAAAAATAGAAACAAGTTGTAACAGTAATATGACATTATGTTATCAACCGCCCAGGCGTTGTTTTTTTTAAATATGATAACCTTTAAATGAGATCTTTTGTTTAATTATCTGGACAGTTTGATGATACTTTGTGGAAATGATCATATGGGAATCTTGTATTAAGTTCCTTAAATTGTATAAGTGTCCTGAATCAAATGTCTGTCAAAGCTAACAGAAAGAAGAAAGAAGAAACACACATATCACCTATATATCTCCTTTAATATCAAGTGTATTTTGATGAATGATCCGTGGATAGATTTCTGTCATAATCATTTGGGTTAAAATGAAAAAATTGTGTAGAAGAACAGGTTGTTTCCCTTTCGTTTTATATAAAATTACGCTAATGTTACTATTTCTGACGCCTAGGTTATGATCTTTAAATCTCTCGTCTAACATAATTTATTAGATAAAAAAGAATCTTTGGATTAAATCTGAAGAAAAATACACTACAAATAAATAAACTACATTATTTCTTGTTCAAAACTGTAAATAAACAAATAAGATCAAGAGACTTGATGTTTGGTTTATTTATTCTGGAAAAGTCAATAATACAGGCAGAACGAAGTTGTGCCAGCTTCAGCCCTACATAAATACGAAGCATTAACAAAATTTAAGGGCTGGGAACATGGTTTTATTCGATTGATTGAAGAAATTGCTTACTATTATATATGGAATGTTAAAAAAATGTGGCTGGCGACACAGGTAGAATGGTTCGCTTTATCATGAACATGTCAGATTATGTACGAAAATTATACCCTTTACGCAAAAGGTAAACGAGCACCTGCTATCGGTCGTTCTCTTTTGAAGAAAATTGCCTGTACGCTTAGAGTCCAAGTCATTTGTGTAGATCTTGCTTGCCCATTCCCTGTTGCTGATTATGATAAAGAAAACATTATGCTTGTCGGCGATTATTTTACATAGATGGAAAGATGCAATTAGCTTATCTGATATGACTGATTTAACAGTCGCTGATACTTTTAATTGGTTACATAAGATAGGTGTCGTTTTGGTTGTCCGTAACAAATTCATACCAATCAAGGGAGACAATTTACATCTTGTATCTTTAATGAGTTGGTATGGAATATAGAGGACTACAACTTGTTTTTATCACTCGAAAAGTGATGTACAAATAGTAATAATTGTACGTTGAACGTATGCTTTTAACTTTTTGACATGCTCGTGGTGTGACGCTCCTCTAAACAAGCTTCAACAAAATGTTCACTTAGTCTTCTGATGTTTAGATAGATATACCTTTTAATGTTAGCTTGTTGCAAACCGAAGATAATTACCAATAAACAGTACTTTATGTATATGTATATTACTTATTTATAGCGATACGCATCTTGATTTATGTTATGTCTTTGAAATTGATTTACAAGTATTATTTATTATACTTGTAGAAAATAAATTCGTTTACAAAGATGCCTTAAAAATTGTCAGTATTTTAAAATAAAAAGGAACATTGTACTTATAAAAGTTAACTCATAGCAGAGAAAGCTCATATAGAGAGGAAAGTAAACTGTTTTCACATGTTTTAAATAATTATTTTGTTAACGGATGTCCCATTTCTATGTTAAGACCATGCAAAGAGATCTTACAAATAAAGGTTTTCAGTATCAATAAGCATGTTAAAAGCATTCTAGACTGTCATTTCTGTAGCTAAAACGATATCAATAACTTCCCGTTATCAACACAAATATTTAGTGACATTGTTTTTTTTTTAATTTGCAAGCTAACCCGATATGATTTATGCTGATCAAACCCAATGAATGCCATATATCGGAGCTGATAAAGGCCTTTACGTCAAAGGAGATTAAATATCACAATTTCAAATAGATAAATTGTTGGTATCTAAGGGGAGTTTAAACAAATAGATATTTTCAAAGATAAGAGGAATGTTATTTAATGACATCGATTTATTTTTTATAATTTGAGTACTTTCTGATCAAGTTAATACTTGTATTTTTTTAAACTAAGGTTTCACATTGCACGAAATGACAGTCAACTTTTTCCGTTTTTCTATGTTTACACGTTATAAAATATTGTAATAAAGACCAAGAAACTGTAATGTACTGTTAACAAGAAAAGTGAACTGCTATTTACTGTTATTAAAACAAATTAACAGTATAAACAAATCTTTAAAAATAAAATAAAAATGTTTTTCGTTTTTTTTTTCAATTTTAATATGTCTCTCTAGTCATACTTGTTGTTTTGTCCAGATATGAATCCTTTCAATAAATAAATTACAAACTTAAAAACATATAATCAAAATTAAATCATTTGACGGTTAAGGTCATTTAGCGGTCAAGGACATATCTTAATTATTTCATATGTCTGTTTGGTCAAAAGTGTTTTTTTTATACACGTATGAATCAAATCCGTACATAAATAAAACAATTAT